TAGTGTCAGTACGGCTTCACCTTGCTGCCGACACGGCACGTGGGGAATAGGTAAGTTCAGCACCCCACCCGGTATCGTTAAACCCTAAACCGTGATCGCATCAGCCCTGAACCTGCAAAATGCACTTTTTTTGGCCCATTATTTTCGGGTCGGGCGGGGTGGGGGTCAGGCTCGGCTGCACCATAAACCCTAAACCCGAAATTCGGATCCGAAATAAACCTGTCGGGACCCGGCTCTAAACCGAAGACTCGACGCAGCTCGGGGGTCCCGGGCCCAGCCTGGGCGGCCTTCCTGAGCGCCCCAGCAGGGGGAGCTCGAAGTCGAAGATGTGGCAGGTGCAGGCGGCGCGGGTCCTATTGCAGCGTCAAAGTCTGCAAAGCCATGCTTTACAAGCTTCAGCGTGGCCCCCCCTCCTCGGTCTTGTCATCCAAGTACATGGAGTAGCCTCGGCACTGCAAGATGTCAACCGAACCTATCCCTTTCCTGCTGTGGGGCCGCAGGGGCCCATTGAGCCACCGGGTTACGGGCTGAAGTGGTCCAGCTGCCCACTCGTCGGACGCGTCATCGGAGGCTGTGTCTCCGTCAGCGCCGCAGCTTGGCTGGTAAGCAGTACCTCGCGACTCTCGCGATCATCCCTGCCCTCTGCAGGCACCAAGCAACAGCAACCCTCTCTGCAGCCGGGCCGCAACACACGCGATTGCAAACGGCATGGTGCTGAGGCGATACCAGCAGGCTTGCGCTGGTGCTGGGCGCTATGGCGAGAGCAAATGTGAAGGGAAGACGCTGAGCGGTACACTCGGCCTGCCCTTAGAGGCTTCTGCGCTGCATCGCTGGAGTATGACGGTTGCGAACACTGACATCAACACAACTGGGATCAAGGGGTGGCAGACAGACAGTACTACCTTTCTCACTTCAGCTGGCCCAAGCAATCCATGCACAGCTGCCATCCTGCAGAAAATCAGTCACATCGTAGATGACCTCGTGGGACGCTTGCCAAAGAAAAGACTTCCGGCGCCCGGCTCCGGAGCTGAGGAGGGGTCATCGTGGATCATCAAACGACATGGCTCCTAGCGAGAAGCACTCTGCTGCCCTTGACGTGCCATGCAGCACTCCTGTGCCCAGAAAACGTCCAACCTGCGCAGTTTCGGCTGCGCGAAGTTCGCCTGTGTCGGCACGAGATACACAGACCCGACAAGGCCAAGAATGTCACTGTCCTCGCAGAAGTCCCAGTTCTAGCTCAGCACCAGCAAGTGCCTGCTCCTTGGTTTTTGCTCACGACACACCGGGCCCCATTGCGTGGGTGGCTCCCTAAGCTGCGATCCGGCTTTGCCTCGGCGACCAAGCTTGGGAGCCTTCAGACACGGCAGCCATGCAACCACGGCGGTCCTAAATGCTCTCAAGCTCTGGTACCTCAACAGCCAAGCTACGCAGGAAAGCACTGCGAGCACTCGCACGGAGGTCGCCTGGCACCATTGAGCACAAGGGCTCTCGAGAATGCAAGCGGCAGCCATCGCCTCCGTGGGAAGGAAAACCGGCACCACCCGAGCAAGCAGGGCCTCCCGGGTCGACACCGACGACTCCGAGAAAAGGCGCCGACTTCGGTCGAAACTCCTTCGAAACTCGCCGCTAAGGACGCTGCGAGAGCCAAGGCTGGCTCCAGCACTGTCCGCCTGCTAGAAACGAGAGGTCTCTTCTCTTCTCTTCCTCTCTGCACCCGCCCACCGAGCCTGCGACAGCCCAGGGACGAGACGAGACTGGAAGGGACCTGATCACAATCAGAACTCCGGAGAGCCGTGAACCCAGCTTCTCCCTTTTCTGGAGCTCTGATGTAAATTCACGACCATGGTACCACGTAGCACGTCCTTCGCGTGCCGTCTGTTGAAAACCGGGTTCCATGCGGATGATATTTCGGGAAGCAATCCCAGCAGAAGACCTGCACATCTCAAGACCCTCAACCAAGCGGTCGATGATGCGTTCGTGGTGTTCCCCACCTCTGGAATCAGAACAGTATCCCCACAGTGCTAGCACCAGGCTGGTCGCGGCTGCGGCATGTTCCAGTGCCTCGGCATCACGTTTGCCGGGCCCCACGGCATGACTCTTCTCCAGTCATGTCCAGTCCGAGGCACCATGCAAGCGAACTTGGAGGTCTTCGGCCTGGCCCAAAAATTCCCCCCGCTGTCCATGTCTTCAGCCCCTGTCGGTCTCTTGAGCCTCGTGGCCACGCCGGCCACGGCCTCGGCCACCGCTGCCCCGTGGAATCCCAAACCCGCCTGGAAGGCCTCGCGAGAAAGCGCGTCCACTGAGCCGCAGTCTACACACGAGTGAACACTTCGCCCGACACTTCTCAATCTCGCCTGCTTTGTCCAGTTCGTGGGCCTGCGACAAAGCCTCCACCAGGGCTCGAGACCCTGAAAGGACACTGCAGGCTCCCGGCCGTCTAAGCGTGCCCTGAGTCGGTGATCACCAGAACACCGGCTGCCACCGCCCCGAAGCCTGTAGCTGTGGTCCCAAAACCGAGACCACTCTCTGCAGCATTTCGAGCTTCCGGCTTCTGAGCCAGAGCAGCAGGTTTCGGCGCTGTAGGACGGCCTTCACCTCGGAGCTAAGAGGTGTAAGTTCAAGGCTGCACAGAAGCCGCTTCCAGCCTCCAAGAAATGGAAGCACCACAGCAGGAAAAACCTGGCTTTCATGCGCCACGGAGCTTTCTCCAGCAGCTAGGAAGCCACAAGGCCGGAAGAGTGGCGGAAGCTTCACATTCCCACATGCCGGTCGCACGAGCTGGCTATCCATGCCAGCAGGCTGAAACCAACCTCGGGAAATGCAGAATATTGCAGAACCTTCTAAACAGTCTGGACGGGTAAACTGAGGTGCAGGACTTGATGACTTTCTTGCACCGAAGGCGAAGACGACAGTGGGCAAGTCAGCGGGAAAATCAGTGAAGCCTGTCGCTTGAGCCGCCCATGCACAAGGACAGCCGTCGGCTGGGATGCCTCGCTGGCTCCACTCCGCCGCAATGACACCTCCCGATCGCTTGAGGCTTGGCGGGCGCAGTGGCAGACTGGATTGAGGACCGTCTGGCCGCCTCCAAAGATGTCGCCAGCTCGGTGCTGCAGGCGCTACGGAGCAGCTCTGCAACCTGCCGAAACCCGACGGACATGCTTCTGACTTGCTTCCAAAATTGGCCCTGTGCCGCCGATTCCCGATGATACGCCGCCAACCTCCACGATGACCTTTTCATGTTCAAAGGGCCTCGGAGACAACCAGAGCTTCAGTCAAGCCATGATGAGCGCTGCTTCGCAGAGGCTAGGGACGTTCAAGATGCTGATATTGATGCTTGGCGGACAGCTGCTGCAATTGGTAGTGCTCATGACGTTCCCTTCCACCGCTGCAGCGAGCATTCCGCAATCTCGTGGGAGCAGCAAGTTTTGAACGGCGTCTCGCACAGTCTCAGACCGCAGCAAATTGGATGCCGCACCATCCATACTCGCCGCCATCCGTTGAGGGCGTTTGCGGTCCGGTCTGCTTGTCAGCAACATTGACTGCTCTGCTCAGATGCAACATCAGATACAAGTGTTATAGATGCCTTGGTTATGGTTTTGGCCACGGAGAGTACATCCTGGCTGCTACAGCACTTGCCTTGAGCAGAGCATAGCAGAGCAGACGAGCATTTCGTGTTCCGCTTTGCTGCTACTAATGCTGCGGCTACACAAATTGTCTCAGTTGTGCATACCTCCGTCGTCAACCTCGCGCCTGCTGCTCCTGCTTTTCCTCCTTATCCTCCTGTTCCTCTCCCGTTCCTGCTCGTCCTTCTTTTTCCTCCTCCATCTTCTCCTCCTGCTCATCGGCCATGAAACTGCGCCCTTTCGTTCACCGGCCCTCGGTCTAGAACTGGTGAACAAATTCCCATGAGCTTGTTGCAAGACACGGCACCGTGACTCAATCCAAAACTTTGATGTGTACCGGGACAAGTGTTGGTCATGGTCCACGTCTATTGTGTGTCAACCGAACCCGATACATATTATAAATATCATGTAAATACACACCATCTACAAGCACCTTGGCATGCCAGGTTGTGTGACGGCATTGATCGAACTTTGTGCTGGACTTGCATCTGCTGTGCCGTCTGGGCATTCAAACAGCCACTTTGTGCTTTTTGTACATCTACCTGACGGTTGCCTTGAAAGTCTGACCGGTGCTGTAGACGCAGTCATTGGTCACTTCGCTTCCGGTTGCAACCGAAGGTACAGGTTACCTGGGGTTCCCTTCGGGAAGAAATCGCGACGAACCTGAGTGATGCGCCAAACAGGCTCGTTGGCTCTGTCCATGCGGTCACACTGACCTCAAATAGCCTCGAGTCTCAAATCGCAGACAAAAAACATCTGCCTCGAGAGACGAGCGCTCGTCTGCGGCCAGGCGGCTCACGCTCCCACGGCCCGGTCGTTTCCGGGGCGTGGGGACGGACCGGGCGAATCCTGTAGAATGCAGCAACCCTGCTAAGATCACTTACGTTTTCCCGTTGCCAAAACGATCGTCGCACAGTCACAGACACCAAAACTTTCCCGCCTGTTGACCCCCGATCTGGAAATATTCTGTGTTCGGATTCATTTTGCCGAAGCTGACCTGCCTTTGGGTGTCCTGACGCCGCGAGGAGACATGCTCCATTCATGCTCCAATGCCCGCTGTTCGTGCATAATGTAGCACGATTCTTGGGCGCACCTGCTGCGGTGACTCGGCATCCTGCTCATCGGACGAGTCCCATTCAGCACCATCGCTGAGCCCCACTCGTTGAAACCTCAGGGCGCCCAGCAGTTTGAGGCTTGACATGAGAAACCGGTATGAGGCCAGGAGACTCCACTTTGTGAACCTTAACGGGCGTCAGGGCAGACTGGGAAGGCGTCCTGAAGCAGGCAACTCTGTGTGCCTCTTGACTCGCTCCGACAAAAATCCGAGGACAATGAAATATCTGGCCTCTGTAGCACGCCCTCCCGGCTTGGGATTATCGGCGGAATCTGCACTCATCCAACACGTTGCATGAACGAATACAAAGAAAAAAGCCTTCGGTAGTGGCTCGTCAATTCGAGCGCCCAGCCGTCGGAGTGTTCCGGCGTGCGCGGCGCGTGCCGGCCATGGAGGGACCGCGGCGCCGGGCCGCCCAGCGACGCGTCGCGACGATGGCGAGCACGGCCTCGAGAAAGGCTGGCATTGCACAAGGCGTAGACTGATCTCGAAATTCTACTTTGGTTTCTACTTTGTCACTGATCAGCGCGATTTGCGGCACAAGCGGCCGCGAAACCCAGCGTGCCCACCAGCCACGGCCGGAAGCGGCGGGGAGGCGGCGGCTTGTGGTGGATTAGCTCCTCTGCCTTGTGCTCGGCCAGGATCCTCCGATTGCATGGACTTGGGGTCTTGGGGTTGCACAGGTCCATGGGGCACTCATCCGCACCTGTACACACTAACCAGAAGGACCATTGAAATTCTGAAGGGCAATTAATTGTACACACCAGCAGCTCGAAGTGGACACTGCAGTGCAAACTTGACCCTGGAAGTGTGTTTGTTGGAACCTCGTCCATCATGCAGTGGCAGAGGTCAACAGAGCAGGGTTATCTACACAGATAGGGGGCCGCACGCCAGCAATGCGCCCCAGCCACCATAAGCTCTCAAGAAGAAGCTCTAAATCGAGCGTGAACTAAAGCTGAAACTGCCAAATTGCTGCTACCGTTACTATACATGACTAACCTTCCGACTTCTACGACACGCCGTGTTGTCATACTAAGTCTGTACAGCTGAGGCTGTGGCACTGTCTCATCCAGCTCCTTCACGGTCTCTTTGACCACGTCGCCGGCCTCTTTCACGGCGCCCTTGGCTTTCCTCCCGGAACAACGTGACTTGGTTGCTGGAGAGACTTTGCTTCTACAAGTTCAAAGGCGTTCAGAATCTGTCAACTTTTCTGTCGTGCTGAACTTTGATCTAGCTCAGCCAAATGCTGCGCTTTCCGCGGTGGTGGCGGCAGATCCGGGTGCCAGACAGTCCTCTGTGCTGCTTGGGAAGTCTGCCTTGCAGTCTCCACCAAGTTGTCGCCCAGACGCCGCGCCTGGGAAAAAGCGACAGAAATTTGACACACAGACTGCGCCAAAGAGCGTAAGGAGAACCGATGGAGAGGGAAAGGTCAAGCACAGGGGAGGGTGTTTTGCGGCCTAGAAGCTCGACAAGCGAGGTGGAGGGCGAGAGGC